ATGGGGATGTTTGAAGTATTTTCAATATAATCTTTATGGTTACTAGTTCGTGCATTTAAATCGCCTTAATTATATGTTGAAAGGGCCATTTATTTAGCTTATCTAAATTTGACTTGATAGAAACTTGACAAGGTGTAGACATCTTGTAGAGCAAAGGGCGGAGCTATTAGTGATTTAGAGAAATGCCTTGTTTTTGGTTGAAAAAAAAAATGTTGATACTTAAATAGGTTTATATTTAATAATACGCATTAACAAAAATAATTGGTCGCCTGCCTGCGGCAGGCTTGACCAATTATTTTTGTTAATACGTATTATTAAACACTAACCTATACTTAATGCGTATTATTAAACATCAACCTATTTAATGATCAACATTATGTTTTCGACCAAAAACAAGGCATTTCTCTCAAATCACCGATAGTCAACAAGATGTCTACACCTTGTCAAGTTTCTGACATGTCACATTTAGATAAGTTAAATAAATGGCCCTTTCAACATATAATCAAGCAATGACCTTTATCTACAATAAGACTATCGTGTTTCTATAAAATATGTGAAAAAAACAGCGAGGAAAATGATGCAATTAGGTAAAACAATGGAGTTAATAAAATGTGTACAAATGAACATCCTTTTAAAACAAATGGAAAATGTGAGAAAAATACAAATTCGTTATTAGCTTCAAGTTATTCACTAACACTTAAAATTCCTATTGATTTGATCATTTGAAAAACAGTTTACTTTTTTTTTATTTTTCTGTGTGTCAATTTAGGTTTACAGGTGGAGGTTTACATGGCGACGCACAAATCCAATTCAGCAAGCCAGATTGGATTTTTTCCTTATTACTGAAGATTTATTACCACATGTTAGAGGTTGTGATATAGATGTAAGCTATAGATCTGACCATTCTATTATAATTCTTAAAATTGATTTACAAAATATTGTACATGGGAAAGGTTTATGGAAATTTAATAATTCTTTATTATGTGACCTAGAATATTTAAATTGTATTAATGATAAGATAGATGATGTAATATTGCAATATTTGGTGCCAGTATATAATATTGACTGTTTGAAAAATGTCAATTATGAAGATTTACAATTTAGTATTGATGATCAACTTTTTTTAGAAACCCTGTTAATGGAAATAAGAGGCAAAACCATCTCTTTTTCTAGTTACAAAATCAAAAAAAGAAATTCTGAAGAAAACAGTCTCCTCTCCAAAATTCAAGACATAGAGACAAATATAAATGAAGAAAATAAGAAAACTTTATCTGATTTACATTCAAAACTGGAAAGTATAAGAACTGAGAAAATAAGGGGTCATATGATAAGATAAAGAGCACAATGGATAGATGAGGGGGAAAAACCAAGTAAATTTTTTTTGTAATTTAGAAAAATATAATTATGCTAGTAAAATAATTCCATACCTACAAAATATAGATGGGTCTTTTATCTATGACCAAAAATCAATATTAAATGAGACTGAAAAATTTTACAGCAATTTATATAGTAATGCTGATGTTATTGGGGGAAAAAATATTAATGATTTTCTTGACAATACAAATGATATATACAAATTATCAAGATAACAATCAAATAGTCTAGAAGGACTCCTATCTTTCTCTGAACTGTCAAACACTTTAAAAAATATGAAAAATGACAAAAGTCCAGGCTCAGACGGTTTTACAGCTGATTTTTATCATGTTTTCTGGTCAAAAATTGGTCATTTTGTTTTGAGAGCAATTAATTATGGATTTAGAAATGAAGAATTGTCAGTGACTCAGAAGCAAGGAATTATTACTTGCATTCCAAAAGATAACAAGCCTAGACAATTTTTAAAAAACTGGCGACCAATTACCCTTTTAAATGTTGTTTATAAATTAGCATCAGGATCAATAGCCAATAGGTTAAAAACAGTTTTAGACTCATTAATTTCTTCTGATCAAACTGGTTTTATAAAAGGTAGATTTATTGGTGAGAACATACGTTTATTATATGATGTCATGAACTAAACAGAAAAACATAAGATTCCTGGAATGCTATTGATGATAGATTTTGAAAAAGCTTTTGATACCTTGTCTTTTAATTTCATAAAAAACACACTCTCTTTCTTCAATTTTGGTCCAATGTTTAAACAATGGATATCTCTTTTTATGAAAAATGTAAAAACAGCTGTACAGTTAAATGGATTTCTCTCTGACTTCTTCGAAATAAGGAGAGGCTGTCGTCAAGGAGACCCCATAAGTCCGTATATCTTTATTTTGTGTGCTGAAATACTAGCAATTAAGATAAGAAACTCTAAAGATATTAAAGGAATCAATATAAATGATGTGGAATATAAAGTATCTCAGCTCGCTGATGACACTTCTCTTTTATTAGATGGTTCAGAAGCTTCTTTGAATAACACCTTAGATACCCTCTATACATTTTCTAAATATTCTGGACTTAAGGTAAATTTTGAAAAAACACATGTTATATGGATAGGCTTACACAAATATAGTACTAGATCTATTAAAACAAAGTGGAAACTAAACTGGGGTGGCAGAGCTTTTAAATTGCTCGGTATAAATTTTCATGTAGATTTAGAAAAAAAAGTGTACAAATGTACATCCTTTTAAAATAAATGGAAAATGTGAGAAAAATACAAATTCGTTATAAGCTTCAAGTTATTCACTAACACTTAAAATTCCTATTGATTTGATCATTTGAAAAACAGTTTACTTTTTTTTTATTTTTCTGTGTGTCAATTTAGGTTTACAGGTGGAGGGGGTCCATTAACAATGAGTTTTCCAGCCAAAAAATGTAATCATTGTATTCTTAATACCAAAGACTGTTAATGCAGTTCATTTCTATCAACTGAAGGTTACTATATAATAACGTGTCTCTGCGTGCCCCATGTAATTAATTTGATTGTATTCTTACATTTAGAAACACCTGACCTCGTCTGATTTTTTTTACTTTGGCATTGTTTTGAAACCAGAGTGTTGAGTTGAAATTCCTCCTAACCAATATGTTGTACAATTCAGAGTGCAAACCACACCTCTAACTCCTCCCTAATATAATGCATTATTGAAGTTAGTTAGACTGGTTAGTCGACGGAATAAGTAAATTTTATTTAGTTGTATCATAGTTTGGGGACATTTCTGTTGAAAATGTGTGAGAATTAAATCGTATACATATACATGCTCAGTGCGTGAACTGTAGTGTAGGTATTAGTTACCCGCACACCAGAGCATGTCCATTGATAGGGGTTTACCTATTGTTATTGTTATGCTTTGGACAAATATTAATTTTGAAAAGTAACAAAGGGCAATAACTCAAAAATTATGCAGAATAGAGTTATCATTCTTGTGCACTGCACTCCTCCACAATGAGATCTATCCACCTAAAATGTTTCAAGTTGTTACCTCAAATACTTTTGAGATAAGCTCCGGACAAAAAGTATGAAAAATAACAAAGGGCAATAACTCAAAAATTATATAGCGAAGAGTTATCATTCTTGCGCACAGCATTCCTCCTCAATAAGATCTATCCACCTTTGACATTTCATGCTGACATCTCAAACATTTTTTGAGTAATGCTCCACTCAGGTGAAAAATTAAGTATGAAAAATAAAAATTAAGTATGAAAAATAACAAATGGCAATAACTCAAAAATTACGAAACGTAGAGTTATCATTCTTGTACACTTCACACCTCCTGAGTGAGATCTATGCACCTATGAAGTTTCATGTTGATATCTCAAAAGCTTTTTGAGTAATGCTCTGGACAAAAATTAATTTTGAAAAATAACAAAGGGCAATAACTCAAACATTATGCAAAGTAGAGTTATCATTCTTGTGCACTGCACTCCTTATAAGGTCTATCAACCTATGAAGTTTCAAGTTGATACCTCAAATACTTTTTGAGATATGCTCCGGACAAAAATGTCGGACGGACGGAGACTATTTCTATATCCCACGCCGCCTTTTCGGCGGGGGATAATACAATTGATAATACTATTCAATCTGTTCAATGACAGTTGAATTAAAATCAAATACATTTGTACATTCAATTATGCTTAACGGTCACAAGTTTAACTTGAAATTGTGCAATAGTTAAATTCTAATAAGAATGTGTACCGTCGTAGTGGATCAGTCACTGCATTTTCTAATGATTTGCAATCCTACGCTCAGGCATGTTAAAAAGATGATGTTCATTTTTACTGTGTCTGTCTTTTGTTTAACCATTGGAATATATTTTGTTCTTCAAAATTTCTATTATTTTGCTTCTTTTTTTTCTATTACTTTTGTTCCCCTCTTTGTGAAGAAATTTACTAAATGTCAAGCGATTAATTTTCAAAAATTTAATTTAACATTATAAAAATCAAGCTTTTTTTAAACACACTAAGATTACGAAACATTAATAATTTGAATATAAGGATAACACTCTTTACTTCATTATATTTTTTTACATTTCTAATATTGACTTTGTTGATGTTTGACGTTCCCTCTAACTTTATAACATAACACTTGTACAAAAAAAAATCTATCTCATGCAGTTTGTAACAATTTGAAACAAAACAAGTCATGGCGCTCTGCCTATTGCGCCATCAACCCACAAACGATTATAGGACATTTTCCTTTGTGTTTTATTCATAAGGCTTCAATATGCCTTACTTAATTTTCGCATTGTTATTAATCTTTGGCTCAAGTTATCATCCTAAGACAGTAGATTTAAATATCCTATACAACCGTAGAGATTATTTATCTCTTACAGTTAAGTCAGTTGAAACAAAATTACAACTCCGTTCCAGTCTATATTATCATAGATTTAACTACTGTAGATTTAACAGTTTATGGTTTTCGCTGTTCTTTATTTTGGTAGAAACCTGGTTTCAGATATCAAAACGTCTGTTTCAAAGATGACAATAAAATAATCTAATCTAGATAACCTTTAATTAATGCAATTAGAAATATTAACATAACACTTATAATTTATAAACAGATAAATTCTACTTACTTGCCGTACTGACATTTAAAACTTGTGCTGCAGTTTTGTGTGCATGGAGGATAACCCGCTAATTTCTTGTAAATATCTTGATACGTTTTTTCTAGTCCTTCTTTTGTGTAACTCTCTAATTTTTCGCCAACATATGAAAAACCACGATAATTAGAAACAAAGTTTTGACGTTCGCTATCTATCCTTATTTCCGCGTCCATAGTTACTTGAACGTTAAATGTATAGTCTAAAATCTCGTAATCGTATAGCCGTTATGCCGCCGTTTTATAGATTTAGGTGTCGACCAGGTACGGAATTAGACCGAGCCCGTAGTCTAGAAAGTAGTTCTTTTAAATTTTAAAGTGGCCCATTTCAAGTCATCATTGGTAAGATTGATTACATTTTAAGTATATCTTTTGTGAATGTGTAAATGTAGTTTTATTTCTGAGTACTTTAAAGGTAGTTTTTATGTATCTTTGCAGGATTTCATTTCTTGGTGGAAGGTTTCAGGAAGTACCATGTGCTATAATAACCGCAACGTTTCGGCCCTTTCCGTCAGTCTTCGGATAAGGACCCATTGTGCAGGCGGAACTGCCTCAGCTAGGATTGAAAGTAGTTCTACCACGTGATTTACAGATGTAAACAGAAACAGATATAATGTAAAACGAATGTATATATTTGACATCTAATGTCTGTTCCGGTACTCTTCTGCTTGAAAATATGTCTGAATTCAAATTTGCCCACTGATGTTTAATTTTAAACAAATCCTACTAAATGTCAACAGGTTGGTTTTTTGTACTTTCGGTTTCTACAGCCATATTAGTAAATATATAAATAATGTATTTTTTGCTTTTGTACCTATGAATTCACTTATTTTAGGTGGACTTTAACTACATATATTGGAAATAAACTTGTCAACAACTCCCAGCATTAAATTACTGTTTGTTTACATTTTTAGTTTCTTAGCGTAGGTTAGACGGAATACCGCATCCTGTGTATTCATACTATTGTGTTCGAGGTCCTTATCCGAAGACTGACGGAAAGGGCCGAGTAGTTGCGATTGCCCATTGTGTTTGACCACCAATTCCTAAATCTGCTTTAAACTCTACCCGACTTTTTCGACTTGGAACTGGTGCCAGAAATAATAATAGAAAAAATGTAAAATACGCCATTAATAATACAAATATAAACATATTTAGGTTGGCTTTTGCTTTCCGTACTCCGGTTGTTTTTAATCACGGCATGGATCAGATAATGCAAGAACACGAGATAGCTTGCAACCAAAGTCCGCTCCTATATACAAACAAGTTCCGAGGTTATACAAAGTGTTTGATTAAAAGGCTCATAAACTGAAGAAGATCCGATATTCTGCGGCAAGCTTATATTTTTCCCCGTAGAATGAAGCATATCCCAAAGAAATTGGTACAGAAATAAAATACTTACTATTTTCTTATGGAATGCCGGTAGGGACATGCCACTTTGCTTATTTGCCAACTACTTAATTGCTTATAAATTTGCTAATTGCTGATTTGCCAATTTGCTGATTTGCTTATTTGCTAATTGCTTATTTGCTTATATACATAAATTTTTATGCTATTGTCAGGCGACACGTCCGAGTCGCAAAGTTCTTGTTTGTATGGAATGCCGGTAGGGACATGCCAATTTGCTTATTTGCCAATTGCTGAATTGCTTATTTGCTAATTGCCGATTTGCTTATTTGCCAATGGCTGATAGTCTTAACGACAAATTTGCTTATTTGCCAATTGCTGAATTGCTAATTTGCTTATTTGTTAACCGCTGGATTACGTATTTGCTTATTTGCCAATTGCTAATTTGCTTTTTTGCAATAGAAATACTTTACACTGTGCCGGAAATATATGGAAAATCTGACTACAGACAACCAGTTGAGTCAGATCTGTTAACTTTTACCAACAGTATTCTTGTAAATTCAGTGTTTTTCCAAGACTACTGTTGATCAATGAATTTAGTTGCAGTGATGCCTACGCAGATATATGTCTACAACTGATGGCTGACATGTCCTTGAGAACACAGACGCTTGGGGGTCGGATCCCGTACCCCAACGTGATACGTGCCCCTGTAAACACTCATTTTAAAATATTTTAAACTTAAAAACGAATTGGACATCGTTAAAACTGGTTTTCAAGCAATTTTTACATATACCGGTATGAAAAAATACCATATACCACCAATTAAGTCTCAATAAAGTACTTAATGGTTTTATCGTTGTAACAAATGTCCAATTCGTATTAAATAAATATTAAAATAATTTTGATATTGTGTTTACAGACGCGTATCACGTTAGGGGCAGGATCTGACCCGCCAGCATCTGTGCTTGAGCATGCCTTATAATGTGTTGCAGCTATAGATCTGTTTGTGCAGCTTAAGTCAGAGATTGATGGCATAATAAACACTTGATTAGTCATATATAAGTGAAAATTATTGGGTAAAGATTGAAAATAAAAGAACTTGAAAACAAAACTATTTCTTATTTTATGGCATATAAAATGTCGTTATTCTCAGCAGATTTGTCGCAGAGGGCCTCATTTTAATGGTACGAATACATAGTATCACAAATGATACATTTGGTACATGCTTAACACGGGTGTTTGTCTTTGCACTTAAGCAATAGGCTTCGTTTTTAGCTCTGTAAGATTTTGAGATCACTTGAGTCTGTGTGTCCATCAACATTTCGCTTTGGTTCAATGTTTTTGAAATTTGGTCACACTTTTCCATTTCTTCATGTTGTACTTTAACATGCTATCAGGGGACCATGACCATGATCATGACCTAGGGTATAATGGACAAAGCCTTTTTGAATATTGTGTATGCATGCTGCCTATTTAATGCTTATGTGAAGTTACAGTTCGATATAAGCAAAAGTAACAGAGATATGACAGCAAAACAAAGGCTTTTCAGTACAATACATTGGTGACCTTGACATTCAGTATATAACGGGCACAGCTTCTTCATGTACATGTACTGTGTATGCATGCTTGTAACGCAAAGTTTATGCAAAGTTGCAGTAAGATGCACGAATCAGCAAAAGTAACAGAGATATGACAGAAAAACAAGTTACCAAGAAAACCAATGCATTGGTGGGTAGAATAGCATCCCTATTCTCTGAATAGTGGAGCTAAAACTGAAACTCAAGATAATTAAAAAAAAAACTACTTTCTGAAACTGAATTTATTTTTTTCGAAATTGATTAAAATGTATCCATCTGTCTTTCTACCTATATTCTAGGTAATGATGGATTGATCATAATTGTCACAAGATATAATTAACAAAACTTTATAAACATAATAACATGATATAGGTTCATGAGCTTGAAATAAAGTCTACAAAGACTTGTTATTTTATATCAAACAAGAACTTTGCGAGTCGGACGTGTCGCCTGACAAAAGCATAAAAATTTATATATATAAGCAAATAAGCAATTAGCAAATAAGCAAAATGGCAAATCAGCAAATAAGCAAATTGGCAAATCAGCAATTAGCAAATAAGCAATTAAGTAGTCGGCAAATAAGCAAAGTGGCATGTCCCTACCGGCATTCCATATGTTTGATATAAAATAACAAGTCTTTGTAGACTTATTTCAAGCTCATGAACCTATATCATGTTATTATGTTTATAAAGTTTTGTTAATTAGAACTTGTGACAATTATGATCAATCCATCATTACCTAGAATATAGGAGGAAAGACAGATGGATACATTTTAATCAATTTCGAAAAAAATAAATTCAGTTTCAGAAAGTAGTTTTTTTTTAATTATCTTGAGTTTCAGTTTTAGCTCCACTATTCAGAGAATAGGGATGCTATTCTACCCACCAATGCATTGGTTTTCTTGGTAACTTGTTTTTCTGTCATATCTCTGTTACTTTTGCTGATTCGTGCATCTTACTGCAACTTTGCATAAACTTTGCGTTACAAGCATGCATACACAGTACATGTACATGAAGAAGCTGTGCCCGTTACACACTGAATGTCAAGGTCACCAATGTATTGTACTGAGAAGCCTTTGTTTTTCTGTCATATCTCTGTTACTATTGCTTATATCTAACTGTAACTTTAACTGCATTCAATAGGCAGCATGCATACACAATATTCAAAGAGGCTTTGTCCATTATACCCTAGGTCATGATCATGGTCATGGTCACCTGATAGCATGTAAAATGTACAACATGAAGAAATGGAAAAGTGTGACCAAATTTCAAAAACATTGAACCAAAGCAAAATGTTAATGCGCACACAGACATATGTGATCAGAGCTAAAAACGCAGCATATTGCTTAAGTGTTAAGACAAACACCCGTGTTAAGCATGCACCAAATGTATCATTCGTGTATGTCTGTTTACGATTCCAGGGAGGAAAGAAATGGCATTTTTTATTTACAATCAAATTTAGAAGAACTATCTTTAGAATTTCCTAATGATTTAATATTTCTTGCAGGGGATCTAAATTCTAGAAAGAAAGATTATTTAGACTTTATTCCACATGATAACTTAGATTTTGTTTTTGGGGAAGTTGAGTATGAAGGTAGTTATTTTGAACTGCTGCGAAATAGTAAAGATGTTCTACGGGGAAATAATTTTGGGAAATCACTAGTATAGAGTTGTGCTGTGTTTTAGATGTACATTTCTTAAATGGAAGAATTAATGGGGATTTAGAGGGAAATTTTACGTGAGTTTCTAAAAACGGAGCGTCCGTTGTCGACTATATGATAGCCTCGTCAGAGTTGTTTGAAAATATATGTAACTTTAGTGTACTTGATCGAACTGAATCGGACCATTTTGCATTGCATTGTTGATTAAAATTTTATAATTTAAATGATAGAAATCGTAAATAATACATTATCGGAACTTAAAATGTACAAATGGCGGGATTATCATGGTGACCCTTTTCGTGAGCAAATAAATGCTCTACTTTCAGAGAATGACCAACTAATTACAAGTCTTGTAAATGTTGATATTGACCGAGCTATTGAAACTATTCAGTCTTTATATTATAATGCTGGACGTTATATGTTGGCTTCTAATTCATCAAACACGTTGCAACCGCCTTGGTGGGATGAACGTTGTGAAATGCTTAAAAGACAGAAGACGGTTTCGAACACCAAACCTTGCATCTGATTTAAGAATTTATAAAGATAAAAGGAATGAATTTAAAAATTATTGTAAGAATAATTTTTATCAGTACCAG